CTCAGAAAAACGCACACATCTCTGACAGATGATCATGTATCAAAGCCTTCCTGCAAATAAGATATTATCAGTGCATCTTTTTAACATGAGAGGAAAACCAAGAAGCAATATTTTAGCGCGGATCAGCTGTGTGCGTGGGTGGATGCAGGCTGCAGGTAGCTCGCTGGTGACACTACCCTCCTCTCTTACAGGCTGGTTGCATTTAAAAATCATCAGTTCACTTTGTTTGACAGGTTGTTGACTAGATATGGTTCACGGAGCAGGCAGACACAAGGCAGATGTTTCATGCAGATGATAAAAATGAATTAATTTCAGATGGAAGTATCATGTGGGCATTATTTTTTTTCTATCGCTTAGACCTGTAATAACCTCACTGTGACTTTTACACACCTTTCATTTTCTTGTGGGCACTAAACACAATTTGCCGTCTGCCGTGTTGTGTCTTTGGCTGGATTAAAAGACTAGCTAATAAAAAATAGGTTACACTATACACAACATATGTAGAAGTACTGACAAGATATTCCAAGTATCTTTAAGTGCAGTTAAAAACCCACCCACAACCTCGTCTGTCGCAAGAAAACAATTAGACATATGAAACAGAGATCAGGTAGTATCAAACACGCAAAACCAGTTTCAGTCTGAAAGAATGGTATAAGCTGAGTCACTGAATCAAAAAAATAAGGCACCTGTTTTGGGCGTTGGAGGTCAGAAATATGTGGAACTTTACTCATATAGAGCACAAACAGTCCTGAGTTCCTCGTCTCTGTCACATCATAGAAACTTATCAGGGTGTAGGAATTATTCAGATCCCCGAGAATAAAGCCAGAACAGCTCATTAAGAGTCCCGCGTTGAGGAGCTTTGTTTCAGCAAAAGTAATGAGCAACAGAACTGGAATAACTCATTATGCAGACGTGTAAAAAAAAGTGATCCATTGTGATTCACATGAAAGACACCGAATTACTGCCCGTAATCACAGCGATTACAAAGTGAGACTTTCATCGTTGTTTATGGCTCCCATTGGTTCCACTGCCAGTCAAATTGCCTCAATAAAATGGATTTCTGCGTTTCCATGACACGAAACAGGCGTGTCGAGGCTGAGACGCTGGCCCCAGTGTTAACTGATCTGCCTCCAGTAATCGTGTTGTGTGCAGGCATGTGAACAGATAAGACTAAGGGTGGAGGGTGAAACATCACCTGTACCCTGTTTGTATGTAGAATTTCTTTTTTTTCCTACACTTTATTTCAGACAGAGTGTTTAGCCACCACAGGTTTTAAAACAGATTCAGGTCTGTGTTGTTGCTCCTGACAGACTCCAAACTGCAGCTATGACCTTTCACCTCATTTTTCAGGGAGCCGAGTGTACGTGTATTTATCCACAGGGACTGATCAAGAGTCAGAGCAGGAACAATTTCACTTCAAGTCAGAAAGACACTGTACACGTGAACATAGCCAAATCTGTTTTTTTCCCATACAGTACTCTGTGGTACATTGTGTTATTCTTTTAATCCATGATTATATAACATGCCTGCAATGTTTCTTTAGGCTATTGAGTTATTTCTTAAGAGCATTGCTTCCCAGATGTATTAAACGACCCTCCCTGTGTTTTTTGTTGCATTTGTTCAGTTCACTTGCTGACTTTCTTGAGAGAACAAGCAAGACGGATTAGGCAAGCAGGTATCTCCTTTATAGGGCGTCCTCAGAGGCAAGTCGGTACTTGAACAACAGGCCATCGTTGCGCATGTCAGCCAAGGAGGAATGCTCAAGATCTGTCGGTATGCAGCCAGGCAATTATTCTCATATACGTCAGTTGTTAAGTGCCTTCAGAGACAAGCCTATAATTTCCCAATTACTAACCCTCATTGGAATTACTTCGACGCATCTGTGTTTATCCTGAAGCTGTTGATCTCTTTTTGAACCACAACCTGTGGGACACACACATAACCTCATGGAAAAATCAATAATTGAACAACTTTCCAGGAAGGGTTGACCTTTGACATTTAAGTTCAGGAAGTTAATAAAGGAAGAAGATGAAAGATAAGCAGATTTGAATGTTGTTGAGTGAGTCATTAATAGTTAATTTCAAAAAGAGCTCCTAAAGGGGATATGATGCTTCATTTACTATTATTTAGAGCAATTAAAAAAACAGATGTGCGAGACGTAATGTTCCACCTCACTGTTACTGTCAGTGAGGCGAAACATGGCGGAGCATTTAGATTTATGGAAATGATCACCCTCTCCATTGTCTGCATTCTGACACGCACAGATACGTTGGCAGTTTGAATTTTGTGGTTATTGAATAGCTCCTATTGAGAAATGCACCCTTTAGAAACCAAAGACGGTTTGGCTGAGCAAGCTGGAAGGATGAAACTGAGGCAGGAAGGCAGTGTCACACAGCAGGTTCCTAAAAAACTACTTCTGGTAAAACAGCACAGAGAGGGAAGCTGACTCAATGCACAGTCAGTAAACATTACACTCCCTTATGGAAACATGACAGATTAGCCACACAGGGTGGCCAAATTTTTCCTGCAATACTTAAAGGGAAACAATATATTCTAGGTAATCATAAAAAAGTGACTCACCCTTCATATGCGGGTGAATTACATATGCCTCAGCAGGTTTCACACTTAGTCTCATGCGAAAGAAGACAGGATGATAAAATATTTACATAAGACAGGCCTGACAAAATATTGACTTAGCAAATTTCTTGTATGTAAAATCGATTACCATTCAGGCAGTGTTCTTAAAGCATGTAATCTTTACTGACTGCGTCATTTATGCAGCTGTCATGTGGCTGCTTCTTCTTCATTTTCATATGTGGCAGCATTGTGCATCTTTACTGTATTACTTTTTTTGGCAGTCCGTCCAACACATAACAGGAACACGCTAAACCCAGGTTCACTGTGTCTCAGTGTGTTTATATGATACTACTTCACGTCCTTTACTTTCTAATCTTTTGGACTTCTTGTGCATTTTCACTGTTCCTCTGTCTAGTTTTAAGATCATCTCTAACAGTCATTACACTGCTGTAAGTTGTCACATTTGCATGTTTCACATCATCAAACAATATTAAACAGAGATGACCCGAGCGGTTAAACACTTTATTTGGAAAACTGAGTTCAGTTTCACTAACCACATCAAGGCCTGATTACTAGCAGACCTGTTGAATCAAGAACTCTCTGAACCTGAATCAGATAAAGTGAAGTAGGCGAAAAGATCTCAAAAATTAGCACATCATGCCCTGATTTAAAAAAGAAAAGAAAAGAAAAAGAAATGAGAAACAAATTAATTGAAATCTATCACTTTGGAAAATGTTACAAAGGTTTGTTTAAGGCTTTGGGTCTCCAGTGAACCACGGTGAGAACCATTATACACAAATAAAGAAAAATCAGAACAGTGGTGAACCTCTTCAAGAGTGTCTGGCTGACCAAAATCACTCCAAGAGCGCATCAACAACTCTTCCAGAAGGTCACAAAAGAACTCAGAACAACATCTAAAGACCCGCAGGCCTCACTTGTCTCAGTTTCTGTTATGTAAAATTGATTACTATTCTAGTGCATGTCAGTTATGAAATGAGTAGGCTGTGTTCTCTCAGCCAGTGTTGTTAAAGCATGTAATCTTTACTGACTGTGTCCTTTATAAAGCCATCGTGTGGCTTCTTCTTCTTCAATTTATGTTGATCTCTTCTTAAACCACAAGATTTCCATCATCTAAAGACCTTAAGACTTCACTTACCTCAGTTAAGGTCAGAGTTCAAGATTTAATAATAAGAAAGAGACTGGACAAAAATGGTATCCATGGGAGAGGTCCGAGGAAAAATTCACCGCTGACCAAAAAGAACACAAGGGGAACCATCATGATGTTTGCCAACAAACATATTGATGGTTCCCAAGACTTTTGGACCTACTCTGTGGACGGATGAGACACAAACTGAAGTTTCTGGAAGATTGAGTCCCATTTCATCTGTTGTAAAACTGTATCATATCATTAGTCAAACATGGTTCTGGTAGTGTGATGGTCTGGGGCTGCCATAGTTGAAGGAACTATGAATTCTGCTCTCCAGAAAATCCTGAAAGAGAATCTCTGCTCATCGGTTCACACCTTGAAACTCAAGTACACTTGGGTTATTTAGCAGGACAATGATTCAAAACAGCAACACAGCAGTCCATCTCTGAATATTTTTTTTAAAAAGGGGAAGGGGGAGGGGGGTGAGTGGCCCATTACGATGCTTTCGCACTTACTCAAACGGGCTGTTCATGCTCAAAAACCCTCCAATGAGTCTGATCAATTCTACAAAGATGAGTGGGCCAAAAAGATGTGAAAGACTCATTGCCAGTTATCACAGTTCTTGCTGTGAAAGTTATTGCTGACACAACCAGTTATTAGGTTTATGGGGCCAGGTTAGTTTGGATACCTTTTTTTCTCTTAATAAATTTGTTTGTTGATCTAAAACATGTACGGGTGATAAATGTGAAGAAAAGAGACAGACAAGACAGACAGAAAGACACACACTGTAAGAAAGAATGAAATCTGTGAAATCAGCAAAAGGGAGAATACTATTTCACAGCTGTGGTAATTAAAACAACCGCAAAATAAGGAGAAATAGAAATGTTTTGGTTTGTGGGTTTAGAATATAGCTCCAAAACTCACTACAGCAACCTACCAAAGCACTTTTCATATAGTATATAGTTTTTTTTACCTAAACCATGGGGGCATTTCACCCCCATGTCATACTGTGTATGGTTGTGTGTGTGTGTGACAAATAAAAATTGAATTTGAATTTAAACCATTAATCTACTTGTTTTACTTGGAATGGATACATGTAAATTATTTAATTATTTTTCCATCAAAGAGCTGCAATTAACTTTAACAGTATGTTAATGCTTGTTTGTTTTTAGAAACCTACTTCCGGGGTCGCTGAGGTTTCCCCACACTCTCATGCTGCGTTTCCGGCCCCGCCTCCCTTCGAGCCGAAGCCCAGCCTTCCTTTGAGGAGACCCCGCCTCTGACAGGTTACGGGGGCGGGGCCAGGTTGTGCAAAGATGGGAGAGAGGGCAGTCAGTTAGAGCGTCTCTCGCCACAGCTGTGCGTTCCTCTCTTCTGTTCTCAGTCGCCTTTTCCTATCCGGCAGAAGGATACAAAGAAAGGGAGACACCATGAAATAGAGACGTAGTATGAACGCGTCGGGGACAACAGAAGGACGAGAGCAACCGAACCGGACAACAGTCTAGCCCCGGACACGGATACTATTATCCCCGGAGCTTCTCCGATGAGTGCACTGGATTTTACCCACCAAAGAGCGTCGAGACCGGGGGGGAGTGGGGAGGACATTATCGCGCAGGTAGGGTTTTGTCGCCTCGGTGTGAGAGACCCGGGGCTCTGCGGGCTGTCCTGTGGGGAAGCTGGGCATGCTGCAGTGCTTCTCTGTGTGTTTCTCTCACACGGACAGCCCGCAGAGCCCCTGGTCTGCTGATCAAGTGTTTCTGCTTAAAGAACGACGAGAGCTGCCGTTTGTGTAGCGGAGCGCTGAAACAAGTCTCCGGGGTGTCCCGCTTATCTTTTGTCGCTGCTCGGCATTTGCGGTGCCGTGTGTGTCTCTGTGTGTATATATGGGACTGTGTGTGTATTTGTCAGCTGTAAAGCGTACGTGCAAAGTTGCTCGAGCAGCGACGTGTGAGCGGCACGTAGACGGCAGGGGCCGCGTATCGGACTCCCGTGATCAAAATACACCGTCCCGGGAGAGGGAGGTTTTGTTACAATTGATGATTTTATCGCTCCCGTTCGGATACGCAGCTGTAATTGCAGGAATGACGTTAGCAGCACACCAAAGAAAGGCACAAGAAGGAGGAGGAGGAAAAAGCATAAGACACTGCAATTATATGTTCTCGTTTTTTTTTTTATGATTAATCTGAGGCTGGAGCCCAAGTTCCCTGCTGTAGGATTAGGTAATATTTTTCCGCTTCAGTTGGCCTGTTGACTGCACTAAGCTGCTTCACTAACGAGACTCTGTATAACAGGCTGTTCCTGTAATATTCCTATAAGGACGGGTTTATAATGACCGCAGATGATGATGATGATGGTGGTGTAACATGTGCTGGGTCATTCTGGGACCAGAGCAGTTTTGGTCTGCGGAGGGAGGGGGGTGAACTGGTTTCGTTTCGGTATATAGAGGGTGAGGGTTTTCCTTTCCAGGAAAGAAAAGATGAGTTTATGATATGGGCTAATACCTCGTCCGAGCGACACAGACTATTAATCATTTCTTTATGCGCTAGGATGACTTCACCTTGGAAACTAGGCTTAAAGGATTATAGGTGTTGTCTTTGATGACTACCTCTTTCTCTTCTCTTTCTCCTTCTCCCAGGACTGACGGGCTTTCACAGAGGCTCATGGACAAAACTTTGCACATTCTCCAGAAATCCACAGATGGTGTGCCGACCGGGATCACCCTGGATGTGAGTTTGAATATGGACGAAGGGGAAGATTTCACGGAGCAACAGATTGTGGGGCTCTCGGACAAAATACCTTTGGTGAAACCTTATTTCAAGAAGAAACAAAGGAAATTGGATGCCAAATGCCTCCACCGAGCCCTGGAGGATCCTATACTGACTACTTTGCTGAGCACAGATACGCTGGTCTCCGGGGATGGGGTGTTTGTTCCCCGGAACCAGCCGGGCCGGACTCCGGGGAATTTGTGCGCAGCGGCTGTAGTGAAACAGAACTGCCTGGGCCAGGTGTGCCTCAAAGACCGGGGCACCGCTGACAATGCCACCGCTGGGGCCGGTGTGCCTGGGTTGATCACCCAGGACGTTGATGTGGAAATAGCCGATACTACTACGGAGCTGGATGAGACTGTTCGGCGAGGGGAGCGACCTAAGATCAGCGATTCTTCCCCCGACTGCTTCCAGCTGAAACCGGGCCTCAGGGAGTCTGGTAGCGCGGTGACAATAACAGCTCCCAGCAGGGATATACCTCCCATAGTTGCACCCCAGGTTCCTCCACACCAGGAGGGGGCAATCAAAAGCAACGACCTCCTAACCTCTGGGGCAACAAATCCTCCAGTCAAAGACTGCACTGGAATCTCGGACCCCCTCCTCCTGCAGCCTGACAAAGGAGTGCTATTTCAGGACAAAAGTGAAGAGGCCTCACTGGATCTGGTTTTTGAGCTGCTCACTCAGCTCCAATATCACACACACCAGTCAGACTCAGTGGACATTTGTGTGGATTTCCTCCAAGGACTGTGCGTTTATGGCAATGACTGTGCCCACCACCACACCGTCCTGCCCTACCACTGGCAGATCCGCAAGAGCAGCAGCCAGACCTGGCAGAGCATAGCAGATGACTCCCAGGAACAGCTGGAGAGACTGTACTGCAACCCTGACAATGAGCAAGTCAGGCTAAAGTATCAGTAAGTATCCCGCTGTAGTGTTTACTGCAACCTGTACTCTGTGTTAATCAGTAGCATGTGTGCTACAAACTCCCTGGTTAGATACAGGACCCCTGCTACAGAGGGAAGCAGCATCAAAGTATTTCTGTTTTGTTTTTGGGTTTTTTTGGTTGGATCTTTGCCATCTGTGTCTGTGGGTGATGGGACAATTCACTTTGCATTCAGTCAATTGAAAGTAGGAAGTGAAACCACAATTCATGCCCCAAGAGTATCACCCTTCAGCATTTCTCTTTATTCCTGACAATTGTTTTCATATAAATTATAATATTTCCAATATAAGTGGACAATTAAACCGTTTCAAGTTTTAACCCAAATCCTCATTCTGTATAAGCGGGGCTGAAATTGGAGAATACTGCCACCACCCCAGTCCATTTGGTGTTGAACATGCTGCTGAAAGGACTGTGTGTTAGATCGATGGGTATTTGTGACATAGCAACAATGGTGCAGTAATCTGATAGGCTGCATGCAAGTGATAGTCTAAGCCACTTCTGGTTCAGAGTGTTGGAAACTGTAGACCTGAGTTTCCTCTTTGGTTTTGCCACTGGTGACAAACTGAAAACACTGCACAGCTGTTCTGTACATACGTGGATGATGGACTGCAGACAAGTGACTGCTCCTCCCAATGCTGACTGTTGCTTTCACAGCTTTATAATGCACATGGTCCGTGTGTCCTTCTAGTTAATGTGTCACCTGCATTTACTGTATCTCTTTATTTGAACAGCTATCACACCCTTGTGTAGGCATGGCCCTGATATCGGTTATCTATTTCCTGCACTTCCCTTCTTCCAAACCCAGATCTGTGATTGGCCAGAAAGCCGTCAAAAGCGAGGCTTTTTCTTTTCTTTCTTTTTTTTTTTTTATAGCACTCGATGCAGAAAGCCGTGAACTTGCGTGACCCCCAGCTGCCTTGTGCGGTCAGTGACACAAACGCACTTGGCAGCTTCTCTTCTTCCCTCGGTCATAAGCGTGCGTGTCACTGTGTACACTCGCACCCACACTCACACACGCACTGCTTGGCACGCAAACACTCGCACGAATAAACTGCACAGAGAAGCAAAGTGACTCGCAGTGCTCTCACGCTCGCCTTTTAGCAGACGGAGATAAACGTCTTTTTCTCCCTCGCCCCCATTGGGGTGACACAAAGGAGCATCTACTGCTTCCTGTGAAACTGTACTGTATGCAAGTACATTCACACTGTCACACACACAAAGGGTACTTGTACACATGTTTGACCCTAAGCTTTCAATCTCTTCTGCAGTGTTTGCGAGTTAGAGGCCTCCCCTCATTTTCATGTCATAATGTGGATCTAATTACAAGTGCACTTTATGTCAGTATAGTGTAATCTTAAGGCATTAACCCTATCCACACCCCCACTCACATTTAAAGCCCTTTAAGCACCTATGTGTTTTTCTTTCTTTTTTATGCTTTTGTGGACGCTGCTCTCACACTCTCACACACACACACACACACACACACACACACACACACACACACACACACAGGTTTTGAGGTGTGCACCAACTTTTGTGTGTGTGTGTTTGACTTGTTGACTCATGTTTTCAGCTGAAACTATGCAAAGAGCATATTGCTCCACAAACAGGATATGCACCTGGTGGTGTCAACCCAGATTCTTCAGAGGCCTTTTGAGTGTGTCTCATACAGTAAGACAGGACCATCTGGCTCACTTGACTGAATCTGCAGTGGCAACCAGAAACGACAGAAACTTTTTACCAGCACATTTTCAATGTGTATATGTGGAAGTTCTGTATCATATGAATAATCCTGTAATGACTGTTTTTGTTTTTCTTTACATAAAAAAAAACTTTGAGGCATTTCAGTCAGTTTTCTTTTTTAGTCTGATGCTGGTGTATCTTCTGATGACTGGAGTTTTGTTAAAAGCTAATTTATTAATATATCTTTGCCATTTTTTAAGTGAATATACCCAAGTAGCAGAGGATACATTTTTAGTTTGGCTAAAAAGGAATTCTCCAACCCTGACCCTTAAAACAGGTTTGACTGTTTGTGGATGGTTGAATGAAAACACAACGTAAAACATTTTCACATGATCCCAGATAAGTCATTTTCTTGCGTGTTTAGCTTTTTATCGGCAAGAAGTAAACAGTGGCCAGTTTCTGGGTTTTTGGTTTTTTGGGGTTTTTTTTGTTTTGTTTTGATCTTTTTATTTTTCTAAGATGGGCCATTATAGATTTTATTTACACCACAGGTAAGGACCGTAAATAAGCTCGTCTCTGGCAGATTCGATTATGTGCACTATGGGCAAACTTTAATATCGGTCGGGGGCTCTGAAAGCGGAGCAGCCTGCCGAGTGATGACACACAAACTGGGGGAAAGTCGGTTAGCCGTGCAGCGTCGACACAAATCAGCTCATTCAGCCAAAAGCTTTGTGTAGCATTGGGTGTGTGTGAGAGCTCTTTTGATCGTCTTTCTTTAGAGATGCAACCCAGCTTGTCTTTTCATGCACGCAAGCAGCCACACGCACACACAGGGTGGAAGGCGTCACCGTGGTTACGGCAGCCAAATGATAACATCGTTAGCAGTATAAAGAGGAGCAGATGACTTAACAAGCTCTGTCGTCGGTATGGAGACACAGGCCCATTCGGCCTTTGGCCGCGCGCGCGTGTGTGGCAGGAAAGAAAATGCACGACTGCTTTTGTATATCTCCATCTGATTATGTTTTGCATGGCCTACTACAGGGCGTGTGTGTGTGTGTTCTGTGCTGAGCTGTTCGTGTGTGTGTGTGTGTGTGTGTGTGTGTGTGTGTGTGTGTGTGTGTGTGTGTGTGTGTGTGATCCATAACACAGGTTAATCCCATCCATATGATAAGCAGGAATGGAAGTCCGGTTAATCCGTCTTGGTCATGAACTCAGCAGTGAGGAGGAATGTCACAGTCATCGCTTCTAAAACTTATACTGTAATAATCCTGCACCGTACAGTTGTTCGTGTGTGTGTGTGTGTGTGTGTGTGTGTGTGTGTGTGTGTGTGAGAGAGTGAGGAATAGTGTTCACTTTACAAGCTGATTGTGTGACAACTGTTACTTACAACAAAATACAAACTTTTTCCTGTAATATCTGTTTAAGGAGGAACTTTAGCACTTGACATCTTGCTGTGTGTGTGCGCGCGTGTGTGTGTGCGCGCGCGTGTGTGCGCGCACACACACACGCGCACACACACACACTGTAGTAGATGGGCTAAAATAAACATGCTATTTGAAAGCTGTTTCAAACTGATGTTCACTCCTGGCATATATGAATATATGAATACACTCTCTCTCTCTGTCTCTCTCACACACACACATACACACACACACGCGTGCACAC